ACTAATCACTATTTTGAAGGAAAATGACACTAGCTTGAATTTATGAACTAGTTTGCTTAATTTTGTAGTAGAAATTAAGCCAAACAAGCAATCCTACAGCTTTCATAGTACTGCATGTGTATATATACATACACACCCACCAAACGTGAAAAGCTTACATTATACCTATCATTGACATAAGCTTTTATGCTTACATTTAGAAAATGTACCAGGTTTTGATGCCTGAAGAGGAAACAAGCATCAAAGAGATGTGTTTTCACTCTCTGGAGCAAGCACTAAAATAATGCATGAGAAAACAACAAATACTAAAACAACAAGGTTGAAAGTTGATCAGGAGAAGGATGATTTGAAACTAAAATCCTCAATACAAAGAAGATAATACCCTAAAATGCTTGAGAAAATAGCACCTGAGAACATTGCCCTGGACTATTTAAATATATGATATTGGAAATCTGTGGAAATATCCTATCTTGGCTATTTGCAAGGCACCAGGATTCTATAGAAGAGCCACAGATCAAGCACCCACGGGGATATAAAGTACCCACACTGGCTATATAGTGTAACAAGAAGATCCACAGATCAAAGATAAATGTGAAAAGTAGCTTTTTTGTAATACTACTATATTAATGCAAATCCAAAACATGGAAAACATGAAATGTGCTATATTTCTGTAGGATGTAAAACCAAAGATGGCTTTGTCCTCAGAAAACAACAACAAACAGATAAAATTTATAGCAAAACGAAAATCTGAGCCAGTATCTTGTTATATTATCTATTATATTTTGTGGCGGCAAAGCAAGTAGCCCCTAACAAGACTATAGTAGCACTCTACTGTAATCTGCTATCAAAAGGTATCAAATATGCTATACAGAAATATTTTCTCTCTACCCCTCCCTCACAGAGAGTCGCTTTCATGATGTTTCCAACTCTAGCCAGTATGAAAAATAAGTCCCAAGATTGCTTCCAAAATAGGATCATCCACTTTGTACCATCCACTTTCCTGGTTCAACATTTAATTTTTTATACTGAAATGTTGGCTGTAGCTCCAAAGCTACCAATGTGAGGAACTGTATGTTAATTGCACTAAAGTATCCAATCATTTTTGTGAAAACAAAGCTTTTTCAGTAGCTCAGTGGAAGTGTATTTGGCTTGCAACTTGACAGCTGTGTTCTTTATAATCTCCTTTCTCAGTGCTCTCCATTTAACTTAATTATGTAATAATGTACTATTTTATTTTGCAAGGTGTAGAATCACAGAATTATTTTTCATTGGAACAAGTCAAAAGTTCATCTAATGCAATCTACCCACTTGGAGTGCAAAGAGATCATATATCCATAAACTATTTCCCATAATATGGATAATCAAGTTTGGAAGATTTCTAGAAATGGCAATTTCACCAGCATTCTTGGAAACATGTTATTTATCTACAGTAAGTTATCTTGTGTTTATAAATTTCTTCCTATTTCATATAAATTTTCCATGCTGTGGCATATTAGTTTTTATTTTTAAACATTAGTATATAGCACAATAAATGTGCTGTACGTAAGAACATAAGAATGGCCTTACTGGGTCAGACCAAAGGTCCATCCAGCCCAGTATCCTGTCTGCCAACAGCAGGGCCGGCTCCAGGGTTTTGGCCGCCCCAAGCAGCCAAAAAAAAAAAAAAAGCCGCGATCGCGATCAAGATCTGCGGCGGCAATTCGGTGGAAGGTCCTTTGCTCGGAGCCGGAGAGAGGGACCGTCCGCTGAATTGCCGCCGTATAGCTGGACGTGCCGCCCCTCTCCGGAGTGGCCGCCCCAAGCACCTGCTTGACAAGCTGGTGCCAGCCCTGGCCAACAGTGGCCAATGCCAGGTGCCCCAGAGGGAGTGAATCTAACAGGTAATGATCAAGTGATCTCTCTCCTGCCATCCATCTCTACCCTCTAACAAACAGAGGCTAGGAACACCATTCCTTTATCCATCCTGGCTAATAGCCATTAATGGACTTAACCTCCATGAATTTATCTAGTTCTATTTTAAATCCTGTTATAGTCCTAGCCTTCACAACCTCCTCAGGCAAGGAGTTCCACAGGTTGACTGTGCGCTATGTGAAGAAGAACTTCCTTTTATTTGTTTTAAACCTGCTAAACATTAATTTCATTTGGTGGCCCCTAGTTCTTATATTATGGGAACAAATATATAACTTTTCCTTATTCACTTTCTCTACACCAGTCATGATTTTATATACCTCTATCATATTCCCCCTTAGTCTCCTCTTTTCCAACCTGAAAAGTCCTAACCTCTTTAATCTCTCCTCATATGGGACCCGTTCCAAAACCCTAATCATTTTAGTTGCCCTTCTCTGAACCTTTTCTAGTGCCAGTATATCTTTTTTGAGATGAGAAGACCACATCTGTACGCAGTATTCAAGATGTGGGCGTATCATGGATTTATATAAGGGCAATAAGATATTCTCCGTCTTATTCTCTATCCCTTTTTTAATGATTCCTAACATCCTGTTTGCTTTTTTGACTGCCGCTGCACACTGTGTGGACGTCTTCAGAGAACTATCCACAGAAAGATTAAAGATTACAGGTCCTTCAAACAGCCTTAACTCTGCCCCATGCAATAACAATACATTATGATGAGTGCATTTTAGTGTTTGTGCCAGAGATTAAACTGATTTGTATGGATAAAATAAGTCTTAACTCTCTCTCCTCCCCCACCATGGTGTCAATATAGGACAGAGTCAAAATTGTTTTGGTACCTTGACTATGCATTTCCATACTTAACATATTTAGTTTTCTTCAAGTTTAACCTTAACTCCGAATTTCCTGAGTTACTAATGCTTGTTTTTGCATAATTACAACATTTTAAAATAATGTTTACCTTTACATTTATCATTAAGTTACTGATATGAACCCTCAACCTTAACTCCAATTTAATCTAGTGTTATTGGTTTTGGTTTTTTGTTGTTGTTGGGTTTTCTGTTTTCGATCTAGGAATATATATAAAATGTGCATGCAGTAGTAGAGAAAATGGCATGTAATATGTACATGAAATAATTATGTTACCAGATATGCTTTTGAATACAGAATTATAACTAATAGCCAGCTGGGCTATTAATATTTGCTGCTTTTCAAGCAGAGAGAAAATTATGGACACAACATACTTCACCATAACAAAAGCATTAAGAATTATACGTAACAGTTTAACATTGTGTAACATGGGTACCAATCATAAAATTGAAGGGTAACTTTTACAAACTTGGATGCCAGTTTTGGTCTCAATAAATTACATTACAATGGTGCAGTAAAGCTAAAGAAACCACTTACAGTACATCTTAAAGTAACAGGAGGGCTCTGTTTATTAGAAATAAATTAAGTCAATGATCTATGACTCTCCTGGAAGTCGAACATGGAACATAAGATTCACTTGATTCATCATCATCATCAAAAACAAGCAGAAAATATTGTTAAACATACATATATATTAACTGCTTCAGCTGCTGTAACAACTGCTCAAAAGAAGAAAATTAAACTGTCTGCTGACATGCTCTAATCTTCAATTTGCTTTGGGTCCTTTTTTTCCCAGATACGGAATAACCAGAGCAATTTTTTCTCATGGTAGAAACAAAGTGATGGAATGTGTACAATCTTTTATGATGTTCCTTATATCATTTCCTTCCTCCAGCCATTTGAAATGCTTTATCTTTGTGTGTGATACCTTCTTAAAAAAATGTTGGGGGGGGGGGGAGTTCAGAATTGTTTTTCAGAGTTGAAAAAGACAAGGCAGAAAACTAGAGTTTGTTGGGAATTTTCCAGTGGAAAATGCCATTTTTGTAAAATCAAAATTTTCTGTGGGAAAATTCCATTTTTGCTAGAAAATGTCTATTTTTCTAATGGGAAAGTAAAAATGATGGCTCCCTGGTTGCTCACCTGGAAGGCTCATCTCAATTCCACTTTCTGCCTGCAGGGAGAAAGTAAAATTAATAAGAACCTTCTAGATGGACAGCCATCAAGCCAAAACATTCTGTTTCATCTCCCCCCAAATGAAAATTTTCTGGAAATCCCTTCCCATGAAAATTTCACATTTTTTACTTTTTGTTCCAATTCAGGAAGGAAAAGTTTTCAAAAATTCTAAAATTTTGCAAGAATGGATTTCCATTCTCCAGACATTGAAAAACAAAGAGTAAAAAGGGTTGTTATAAAAGCTAACAAAGCTGGTCACATTTGTGCCTCCACTGTACATCACACAGGGAAGCAAAAGTATAAATACAACCAAAACTGAACAGCAAGCACAGGAAGCATAGCAGAACATATAATCATGCCCTCTCTTGAGTATGGTAGAACCCCCTCCATATGAATATTATGTGGCTGGAACACTACAGGGTGAAATCTGGCCCCACTAAAGTCAATAGGAGTTTTGTCAGTGACTTCAGTTGAGCCAGGCTTTCCCGCACAGAGTTCAGGGGAAGGTAATTGTAGGTGCGGAGTGGCCTCTCTAGGTGCCACTGTCCTGTCTGAAACGAAGGAATTTTCCATGCAACTTCCCCAAGTAGTCTCTGGCCCACTGAAAACGCTGGACGAATGTGCCTAATTATCACTGTCAGCGTTTAAATTGTGTAAAATTTATAATCAACCCCCTGTCATGGTCCAACAATCATCTCCTTCAGAAAGAGAGCATGGCTTTTCCACCCTGTTTGTAATAGTCCTTCCACAAGACAAATGGTAGCACAACAGCCAGTGAACCCTCCCTCCCATTCCCCATCTTAGATTGTTCCTTGAAGAAAATGACAACCTACTAAACTATAACCCCACTGACGGAGGAGCAGCAAATATCATCCTACCATCACTGAACTGAAGCTTAAAATCTTTGCATTTGCTTCCTAGATATCACAGTGATAGACACAATATTGATTAGATTTGGATACTGTACAGAAGATTTTCCAGGAAAGAATCCCTCAGGAGTTCCTTCAAAGCAATTTTAAATTCAGCTCTGTAGAAAAGTAACCACCCACCTCCTCTTCCCCTTTTGGGATAATGTCTTGAAAACTCTGAGTTGAAACTTTTTGTAAGTCATTTTACCACTTTCTCAGTTTTTTTCTATAGGATGGGTTGATTTACACCACAAGTTGGAAAAATATATCAGCAGTCTTCAGTTTTATGGTCTGTTATGATTTATACTTACACTTAAAAGGGGATATTATAAACTTCAAAGAAAGCACTGGTGATATAGCATGGCACCTACTGTATTGCATATTTATTTATTTAGGAATATTGGATGGCTGGGCAAAATCTTCAATAAATGTTATCTGAAACATTTTGTTGTGATTTTTTTTTTCCTGACTCAAATGTTTTTATTTTTAGTCTCAGATCTTTTCCTTAACATCACTGGTGTGTAAGAGAACATGATTTCATACATGAAATATGAAAACATAATTACTGTACAATATTCTCACTTGGAATGGATCCAGGAGCGAGTCCCATGGCAAACTAGTTAACTGATGCTTTATAAATCAAACCAAGTGTTTAAAAAGCATTATACAATTTTGTTAAATTATAGATTGTAATAGTGATAAAGTATTTCAATTGCTACTATAATCAGAGAGACAAGGTGAGTGAGGTAATATCTTCTGTGTAAGCTCAAAGGCTTGTCTTTCTCATCAACAGAAGTCGGACCAATAAAAGATATTATCTCACCCACCTTGTGTCTCTAATATCCTGGGACCAACATGACTACAACACTACTTGGTTTTATAATTAATCATGTTATAATGACATGTCATGTTGATGTCATTTTAGTTACTGTTCTGAATTAACTTAAAAAGAACAGGAGTACTTGTGGCACCTTAGAGACTAACAAATTTATTAGAGCATAAGCTTTTGTGGGCTACAACCCACTTCTTCGGATGCATATAGAGTGAAACATATATTGAGGAGATATATATACACACATACAGAGAGCATGAACAGGTGGGAGTTGTCTTACCAACTCTGAGAGGCCAATTAAGTAAGAGAAAAAAAACTTTTGAAGTGATAATCAAGATAGCTCAGTACAGACAGTTTGATAAGAAGCAAGTGTGAAAATACTTACAAGGGGAGATAGATTCAATGTTTGTAATGGCTCAGCCATTCCCAGTCTTTATTTAATCCTGAGTTGATTGTGTCTAGTTTGCATATCAATTCCAGCTCAGCAGTCTCTCGTTGGAGTCTGTTTTTGAAGTTTTTCTGTTTTAAGATAGCCACCCGCAGGTCTGTCATAGAATGGCCAGACAGGTTAAAGTGTTCTCCCACTGGTTTTTGAGTATTATGATTCCTGATGTCAGATTTGTGTCCATTAATTCTTTTGCGTAGAGACTGTCCGGTTTGGCCAATGTACATGGCAGAGGGGCATTGCTGGCACATGATGGCATATATCACATTGGTAGATGTGCAGGTGAACGAGCCCCTGATGGTATGGCTGATGTGATTAGGCCCTATGATGATGTCACTTGAATAGATATGTGGACAGAGTTGGCATCGGGCTTTGTTACAAGGATAGGTTCCTGGGTCAGTGTTTTTGTTCAGTGATGTGTGGTTGCTGGTGAGTATTTGCTTTAGGTTGGGGGGTTGTCTGTAAGCGAGGACAGGTCTGTCTCCCAAGATCTGTGAGAGTAAAGGATCATCTTTCAGGATAGGTTGTAGATCTCTGATGATGCGCTGGAGAGGTTTTAGTTGGGGGCTGAAGGTGACAGCTAGTGGTGTTCTGTTATTTTCTTTGTTGGCCCTGTCTTGTAGGAGGTGACTTCTGGGTACTCGTCTGGCTCTGTCAATCTGTTCATGCTCTCTGTATGTGTGTATATATATCTCCTCAATATATGTTTCACTCTATATGCATCCGAAGAAGTGGGTTGTAGCCCACGAAAGCTTATGCTCTAATAAATTTGTTAGTCTCTAAGGTGCCACAAGTACACCTGTTCTTTTTGCGGATACAGACTAACACGGCTGCTACTCTGAAACCTGAATTAACTTACTGCACTAAGTATTCAGTTTCAACCTACTAGAGGTAAAATATAATTCACATTAATACATTTGCTTATTACAGCCATTGACTGATATATTGCCACCATTGTGGAGTTTTCAATGCTGACTTGATAATTAAGTTTACAAAGCAAAACCTATTTCCTCCATCTAATTTCAGATTTCAGTGTTTCCTTTTACTATGAACATTTTCTTTCATTTGCAAAAGGAATGGTTACAGTCTTTAAAGTACTTCCATAGAACATCAGTATGTTTAATGATTGACTTATTGTATGTAATATGGAATAGGCAGTGTGGTTTTGCTTCATAGAATCATAGACTCATAGAAGATTAGGGTTGGAAGAGACCTCAGGAGGTCATCTAGTTCAACCCCCTGCTCAAAGCAGGACCAACACCAACTAAATCATCCCAGCCAGTGCTTTGTCAAGCCGGGCCTTAAAAATCTCTAAGGAAGGAGATTCCACCACCTCCCTAGGTAACCCATTCCAGTGCTTCACCACCCTCCTAGTGAAATAGTGTTTCCTAATATCCAACCTAGATCTCCCCCACTGCAACTTGAGACCATTGCTCCTTGTTCTGTCATCTGCCACCACTGAGAACAGCCGAGCTCCATCCTCTTTGGAACCTGCCTTCAGGTAGTTGAAGGCTGCATCATGTTATGCTTTTTGCTTTTGCTGGTCTGATAGGTCTCTAAAGAGTCTCAAAAACGTGTTTAAGATAGAAGGGGGGCGGGGGGAAGAAATACCTAAAATGTGCAAATACCTGGTGGGTAGACAATATTAGTTCAACATATCCCTTTAATGCAGTGGTTAGCAAACTTTTTTACTGGTGACCTCTTTCACATAGCAAGCCTCTGAGTGCGACGCCCCCTTATAAATTAAAAACACTTTTTAATATATTTAACACCATTATAAATGCTGGAGGCAAAATGGGTTTTGGGGTGGAGGCTGACAGCTCATGACCCCCTATGTAATAATCTCGCAACCCCCTGAGGGGTCCCGACCCCCAGTTTGAGAACCCCTGATTTAATGCATGAGTTCAAAACCAACTTTTTGCTACTTAGACTTGTGGAGTTCTGACAAGAAAAATGTGTGGGTTCTTAAGTGCTTTCTACCCTCAATGACACAACTGGACAGGAGAAAGCACTAAAAATATACTGCAGGGAACAACTGAGCTTTGGCAAAAAAAAAAAAATATGGACTAGATAATGAAGTCAGGCCTTCTATCTCAAATTGGTAGGAATCTGATGAACAGCACTGAAAATGTATAGCCTAATTTTCAAAAGTGCTGAAACATTCGCAATTTCAACTGAAATCAATAGGACCTGTGGGTTCTCAGCACCTCTGAAAATCAGACCACTATATTTTTAGGCTGTGAGTTTATCAGCAAGGAGTTGATAAAAATTTTACAATGACAATATGACACTTGGATCATGCAGATTGCAACATAATTTTGATTTGTCTTCTTTTACATACATTATGCAGCAGCATCTTATGAAATAATTAATGTATGCATTGATGAATGACTTATTGTTTTTTCAAATGCTATTTACTAAACATAATGAGCCAGATCTTCAGCTGGTGTAAAATGCAGTACCTCCATTAAAGTCAATGGAGCTATGCCAATATACACTAGCTGAGAAATGGACCCTGTGAATCATATATGTAATAAAATATCTGTTTAAAGTTACTGGGGTTAGTAGTTTTCTGTTGCATAATTAATCTGTAAAATCTAAAAATAATTGTTTTTTAAACTTTACCTTGCTCTGAAGCTGTGTAACTTCTCTTGCAAACACACTGTCAATTGTGGCTGGCATCTGCTTATACAGAGAATTGGAGAGGTCTTTTTTAGCAGATCCTTTGTACTTTGCCTAGAAAGAAAAAAGACCAAAAAATGCAGAAATTACTTCAAAGAGAATCACATAGTAACTAAACAAATCACTTTGTTTTACTTTGAAATAAAATGGTGCAAAAGAACATTTTACTGGAAAAGACCTAGATAAGTCTTGTAGAGTAATTTAAGAATACACATTTATTTTCAAATCACTTTATATTTCAGATTAGTGGATATAATCCATGAACCAATGTAATGTACTTGATAGTTAAACTGAAGGAAGCCTTGAATGAGGCAAGCAAGGTCAGCAAAAAAAATCTGTCACTTACTATTTTCACTTCTTGATCCAAAAAGCAAAATTATCTACATATTTTCAGTTTTCTGGAGTTTTGCACATTGTGTTCAGTGGAGAAACAAACAATGAAACACTGAGACACTCAAGAAGAGGCAGTAATTAATTTTCACTGGCGAATACAACAATATGAAGACAACAATTTGTTTATTCTTTGCTACTTAAGATTTCTATATCACATATTGTTTTAAAATTTCTTGTTATTTCTCCTGTGTTTTCACTACAATTCAAAACTAGGATTTTCTAAGCATCATTACAAAAGCACAGAACACCTAATGGCAACTTTCTCACAGCAGAGTCTTGTGATGCGAGCTAGAAGCATAGTACAGAATTGTTGGCTTGCTTCTGTTTTTGTCTCTGAAGCCAAGTATGTCAGGAGCATGAATTTTAAATTCATAAAACAATGTCAGATACTATCTTTAAAAGTAATCACTGATATCAGGAATATGCCATCTTAAATGCATTATCATATTTAATTGACATGCACCAACTGGACCATGTCTAATTAATCATTACTCTGGTTATTCCCATGATTAATTGTTTTTTAAAATTCTGCTAGAGAATTTGTTTTTCCCAGATTTTTTTGTGAGTTGAAAAAAGATGCCAAAATACAATATTAAAAATACCTACATTCTCCAACAAAGTCTACAGAACACTAGAGGTCAGCAATTTACAATCTTAGTCAGCTATCACTATCGTATTCAACCACTGCAACAAAACATGTTACCTAAACAGCATTCTAAAAAACTTCTGAAACAAAAAGCAATTTTTTTTACTTTTGTTATATATTAAATCTTTAAGTGTTCTTTTATTAACAATCAGCAACAGCTAGTAGTTGT